GCTCATTCTGTCTATGTCAGTCAGCTTTCTTTAGATAGTTATTACAGTGCTTACCCAGTAATCTCATGAATAAAATTGTTTTGATGTCAGGGATAAAGATTTTTGTACGGGTTCAACAAATGAACTTTCTTTCACTAATGCTGGTCTGAGTATCCAGCTCCCAGCAGTAGAGCCCAGTGCTGATCCTCTAATTTGGAATATTTCCTGGGTAAATCAGCCAGCTTCATCACACTAGTCCAGTGATGGGTAATCTTTGAACCTCATCATCACTGTACTAGACCTTTTATATCATGAAGGGGATAGTAATTTGTCCTCATTGGATGAAATAGATGCTTATTCTATGGACTTACTTTCCTGTTTGTAGTAGTTCTGCTGATAACACTGCCCATGGAGTTAATGTTTGCTTTATTTCACCATAATAATATCTCATCTAACATTGCTCTGGTCAGGAGCCAATTCATGATGCTAAAAGTGACAAAATGGGCTCATGTTCACATGATTTACTATTCTTTTCTTGGATATCTCATTATCTAAAAGAATCTGTTCATAGGATGCTGAAATAGACTATTGAAGACCTAGCTGTAGTGTCAGTTGGACTAGGATTCCTATAGAAGGGAGAAATTCTTTTTCATGAATATACATAGCATATGTTTTGAACCAGAGATGAATACATGATCCTATAGCCAGAATACATGGGTCTAAGGATCCAGGATTGGAAGTTGTAGTTTTACTTCTATTATATCTAGTAACAAGCATTTTTACTTTCCATATCAAATCAGTAGTTTAATTTAATTTAATTTTATTTTGAAGAGTATAAACAGAAGCAAAGCCAAATAGAAAAAATGATAGAAACAGGGTAACACATACATGTTACAGATTTTCAAAACAGGAATAGCTAATTAGCAATGATTGTTATATTATCTATTTTTAATCTGTTGCTCAGATTAACAGATAAACTTATGCAAGATTAGACAAATAATTGAATATTAATGCTTGCTTTCAAAAAATCTTTTTCCTTGTCTTTTTAAAAAATTTCAAATCAGTAGTTTAAACAGTCCTTTACCTGAAGAAATGCTTCTATCAAAAAGAAAAAAAAATGTATATATATGCATACACAAGATAGTTAGGATAGATATACAGCGACTTTCTCTTAGTTCAATGAGAACAAAGGGTTGTACTAATATTTTTTTAGACAGTATATCATGTCTACATCTTGTCCTCTGAATTACTACTATGAAGACGACAATATGCAGTGTATTAATTATTGTAGCTGTCCTACTAACCTGTTTTAAAACTGTTTCATTGCTATTTTATCTTTTTTCCTCATTAAAATGAATAAAAAATAAAAAGAAGAAATGCTTCTATCAGAAGACACAACAGTGGTTACATTTCACTGAGAGTTGGACATGTTCCCTGGCTGTTTTGGGGATCTCATGCATTTGAATCACCAGGAATGATTATTTTGATTCAGTTATGAATATAGCATTTTCCTGGATGGTGGATTCCACTCATCAAGGGGGAGGGTGTTTAGTCAGTTGGTGGCAGTCAGACTTAGTGTCAGTCTGCCTGTCACCAGCTCTGTGGGTGTTAGAAGCAGTTGTGGCCATCACTAGCATTCAGTATCCAGGTCCCAGCTGCAGAAGCAGGGTTGGTGGTGAGAGCAGTGGCTACTGCATCTACAGCATCATCAGCATATTGATTTCTCATGTAAGGACCAGCATGCCTCTCCACTTATTAGTGCAGTGGTCACCTCCAATTTCCTCTTCCTTATGAACATTCATACGCCCTTTCCCTAGCTTCATCACTGTTAGTATTATGCTGCTTTGCTTTCTTTCTTTGCTGAGTCATTTGATAGTTACATGTAGGCACTGTACCCCTAGGCTTAAGTAAGTATATCCTCTGTAAAATCACAATACAAGTATCACACTCAAGAAATTTAACTCTTTTTTTGTTACCAGAAATCTAACTCACAGCCTTGTGCTTGCCAGGCAGATGCTGTGCCACTGAGCTATATACCCAACTCAAGAAATTTAACTCTTTTTTTGTTACCAGAAATCTAACTCACAGCCTTGTGCTTGCCAGGCAGATGCTGTGCCACTGAGCTATATACCCAACTCAAGAAATTTAACTCTTAAACACACTACTATTATCTAGCATCAAAATTTCCCCTAGTTGTTCTAAAAATGTCTTTCAAAGCTTCATAGTTGTTGTTTTCCCCCCATAATCTGTGATCCAGCAATTTCATCATTGCTGTTTATTCTCCTTTATTCAAGAGTGGTATCTGCCACAACACCACCCCACCTGTCTTCTAATTTTCATGATTTGAGGATTTTGATATGTTCTGGTCAGTTTTTGTTTTCTTTTTCTAAAGAGCATTCCTTAGTTTAGATTTGGGTTAGATGCACATTTGACACTATTTTTTGGATGTGTTTAATAGTGTGTCTAAAGGGTCTACAGGGTCTCACTACACAGATCAGACTCATAGTGATTCTCCTGTTTTCAGCCTCCCAAGTGCTGGGATTATAGGCGTGTGCCACCATACCCAGTCTTAATCGCTGTCTCAGTGCACCCTGGGGGCAGGGCTGGAATGCCATGTGGGGGTTGAACCCCAGCCACTGTGCTCTGCCTAAGCAGAAGCTTTAGTCTGCTGAGCTATCTGGCCAGCCCCACATTTGACATTTTGCAAAAATACTTTGTACACAGATAATGGTCCTCAGAGCATCACACTAGGTGGCACCTTTGTTCCATGATAAATTTAACCACTAAGTTTTTTATAGACCTTTCTACATAGTAAGGATAACATTTGCAATTAATAAGTTACCTTATTAATGATGGTATTTCTAGGTGGCATGAGTGTGTCAGGTATTTCTTTCTGCCACTTAGCTTCCATGATTTTCCAGACTTTCTTATTACTATAGTGTTTGTGATTTGATTTCTCTCGTTTCTTCTTTTTTTTTTCCCTCATTTCTTCTGGATTTATTAATGGCCCTTCTTCTGTATAGTTGAATTTTCTCTTGCCCCTTACAATTTTTTCTTCCATCTTTTAGTGATAGTACACATTTTTGGAATCCTTTTCAAATGCAATATGCTATAGCCACTCCCACCATTTTAATGTTCACATTGTGCTTACTTTGGCCAGTGTACTCCTTTAAGCTGGCTCATGTAGCCTTCTGACATGTTACCATCAACTTTGGGGAGATTTTCTTACTGTCATTGTAAGATGTTCCAGGCTCACCTTATGTTTTGCTGCTTCAGTCCCTGGGACCAACCATTTCTTCAAGGCACTACTTTCATGTGTTTGCTTATTCATTTTTAATAGAGAAGGACAAAATTTAGGTATTAGACATTCACTTTGTCACCGAGTGTCATTTCTTCTATGTCCTCTCCGGGGATAAAGCTAAGAAGTAGGATATCGTAAAAAAGTATTGATTCTAAAGGTTTTGCATCATAAATGACTCCCAGAATTAAGTAAACAAATATCTGTCCAACACTGGAAAACTATCATTTGGTCTAGCAAACCAGTGGCTCATATCACTGATCTAACAAATGATGTTCCCCCCATCTATCTTTTGGCTTAACTTTCCTCTTACTTCCTTTTTTTAAAAAAATGTATTTACTGTAGGGTCTACAGGGTCTCAGTACATAGATCAGACTCATAGTGATCCTCCTGTTTTCAGCCTGTCAAGCACTGGGATTACAGGTACACATCACCGTGCCCAGTCTCAATCACCATCTCAGTGCACCCTGAGGACTGGGCTGGCATGGCACACCAGGGATTGAACCCCGGCCCTTGCATCCATGTAAGGAGGCACTTTAATCCACTGAGCTATCTGTTCTGCCCTTATTTCTAAAATAAAGGAAAATATCAACCAGATGCAACCTTAGGTGGGCTTTGGATGCAAGCAAAAATCATTCAAAACATCCTTTGAGAATTATATATATATATATATATATATATATATCTGATGTGTAATAAACAATGCGTATTTTATTACCATTTGTAAATGTGTACTATACCTACTATATGTCAGCAAAATTATTTTAGTTGTTTTAAGAGATGGTGGTTAAGCTTTTCCCAGCTGTATTAACTTACCCATACCTACAAAATTAACCAACACAGACAACTTAAAGGAAGAGAATTTTATTTTTCTCACAGTGTCAGGGAATACAGTCCTTAATCATTTGGCTTCAAGGCAAGATCAGATGATGGAAGGTTCTGTGGGGCAAAGTCACTTACTTCATCAGCGGCCAGAAAGCAGAGCTGAACCAGAGAGGAAGGGTCTAGCAACCAGATGCAGTATTATGTGCTACCCAGACACACAGGAAGTGTGCCTCACTAATCTACTAGGCGCATCTCAAGTTGACAGTTAAGCCTAATGAGCACACCAGCACACCAAACCAGCGATGAAAAACTGCTACCCCCAGGTAGATGGGACCATTGGCATAGTTTATTGACCCACAGGATGTGATCGAAAACAGACAAGGGCATGCCAACACTTGCAAATTACAAAGATTCACATGCAAATCAGTGGGATTCACATCCACATTAGTGGGAATTCCTCATTCTCTTGAAGCATCAAATCTGGCTATATGCTCTTGTCCCGCACCAGCGCTTAACCTGGAGCTGACCTACTGAGGACCCTCCAGGCACCCTTTAGGAACACCCTGGTTTACCACAACCCCATCACCCCTGCCATCTCTCCATTTATCCCATGTCTGTGTGCTGGATTTTCTGTCTCCTATTTATTTTATAACAGCACAACCCAAACCACATTTTCAGTCCAGATGGGAAAATTAGTAGCTTCACTTTCTATTGGTTTAAATCCCATTGGCCCACAATGATTGATCATAGGAGTCCCACAAAACATTTGTAAGAGACTTTAAAGCTATTGTTAAACTAACAAATGGAAGACTAATATTTAATTTTATACACAATTGACATTCAGAGAGTAAATATATATATTTTTTCACTAAATCATTCTTACTTTTTTCTCCTTCCTTTTCTTCCTTGTCTTTTACCATAGCTTTAATGTTACCTCTAAAGCACAATATCAGTAATGAGGTCATTACACAATTCTATTAAAATTCATACTTTGGTCTTTGTTTTGGCCTAATTTAAACACTGAAATTATGAATTTATGTTAATTAGCCTGAATGATTAAATCCCCCACCAATTAAGCAAATATATAAATTTTAGGTTATTCAATTATCCTATGTTAAGGTTAAGAAGGAAAAATGCGATGAATGTGATGTATAATGAAAGTGACCAACCTGGGCCACCCTGTTATTTTGTAGTAAAACTTCTTTTTATCATTATGAAATGCAGTAATGCATCCTGAGTTAGATATTTGTATCACAACTGTGATTCTACTAATGGCAAGTTGGGTCTCTGTGAGGGGAACTTTTCTGCATACACTGGCGAACCAATTCAATTTTTAAAAAGCTATGTTTGTTTGGTTCCATTTATGATACACATAACATAATTTTGTGTTAGCCATGACATATGAAGTAGCCTAACTTTTTAATCTTCAACTTCCAAATGCACCAAGCACCAGAAATTCATTTATTAATTGTATCTTCCAAAAAAAAGTATAACAAAGCCTGGGGGTGCAGCTCAGTGTTAGAATCCATGCCTACTAGGCATAAGGTTTAATCCTCAACACTATAAAATTTTAATTATTTATTAGCAATTTAAGTACCTGAGCACCTTTATCATGAGAGTGTGATAGGTGATTATTAGATTCCCAGTCTAGCCCTTAATGTGGTTTAATAGTTCTACTGATCTTAATTTAAATTCTAAGTTCTGGAGCAAGAAGAAAAGAAACAGAAGGAAGAGGAAAATGAGAAGAGAAATGCAAGTAGAATAGTGAGAGCAAAGAAAGAGGAGGAAATGAAGGAGAAGGGTTAAAAGAAAATTCTCCCTGAGGCTAGGTAGAACTCCACGCAAAAATCTGAGATACAGTATATGCAATTGCTTTATAACCTTTGATTACCATTTCCACACCCTTCTCTTCAGAATCTTCTGCCTTTATTCAGTACTAAGGTTCTTCCCAGTCCACTCCTGTTCTAATTCTTCCTACCTTCCACAAACAAAAATCTCAAAATTCTTGCTTGTCAGTGTATTTGTTCTTAGGAAGATATTTGGAAGACAGCAGTTTAAGAGAACCCAGTCATTTCATGGAATTCCCCAAACCTCTGAAATCTACCATTCCTGACTTAGGGGAATTCCAGGCAATGTCACAAAATGAAACAGAAAAAAATGACAGCAGTGCAATATTTCCCTGCTTATCCACAGTTTTCCCCCCATGTTCTAGTTACATGTGGTCAACCACAGTCTGAAAATATTAAATGAAAAATTCCAGAACAAGGCAATTTATAAGTCTTAAATTTCATGCTGTCCCACCATAGAATGTTTCTAATAAGTATCATTACAGGTGATTCCATTACAGTACAAATAGACATTTTGAGAAAGAGAAAGCATATTCACATAGTTTTATTTCAAATATCATTGCTCTACTATTACTGTCATTAGTCTGTGACCTAACTTACAAGTTAAACTTTATCACATGTATGTGTAGGGGGAAAAAATGTCTATGTAGGGTTTGGTACTGTCTGCTGTCTCAGGCATCCACAGGATGGCATTGCAATGTGTCACCTGCAGATAAGGGGACAGCTGTATTTTGAGAGGATACCTCACAAATTACAGCTTTCAGTACTTCTGACACCTCTTCACAAGCTCCCAGTTGCAAAGATCTAACCTGTATCTGGTCCTCAAGTCATGGCTACAGACTGAATCATTTTGAGGGGTTTCTTTTTACCTTCCTTTTCAAAATAGCTCCCAAGATAGGGTGCAGAGTAGAGCCGAGAGGGCGGGATATTCGTAGGTGTGGCTCAGCTGCAAATGGGAGCTGCAGACAGAGGCTGAGCTGTGAGTAGGGATACCTGTCTCATAGTCTGGTTCCCAGATTCCTTGTTGAAATGATGTATCTGTTGCTAAGTTTCCTGGTTGTTGGACACAGTTAAAATATTAGTAAATGAAGGTGACAACATAACTTTTGTTGTTTGGCACTGGGAAGGCTTTAAGGTAAGAGAAGTCAGGAAAGTCATGAGCAATGCTGGCAATATTTTCAATGCTGTATGATTTTAAGGACGAGTTCCTGTTGAAAAGAGCCACATCTAAGAAGGAAACATACGTACACGTTTGCCAGCCTGTGTGTAGCGATGTGGGCAACACTTGGGAGTCGCTGTCCCTGGTGCTATGGATGAGTAAGCTTTGTTCTGGGAAGGGGTTCTTGGCCTCTGTGCTGATGCGAAGCCTCTTCAGCCCACAAATAGCCAGGTACGTGGTGGGGAGAGTGTTGGAACTGCAGAGAGAAAGCTTCAGATCCTGGACCAGTGTGAAGTTCAACAGGCGGCCCAGCACTGATGAGTCTGTGAACCAGATGGTCAGATGGCCACTGTAGCTGGTACGCTCTACCGCAAAAGGCAGGATGGTTTTACAGCTGCACATCAGGTTGGCCAAACTGTAGTCACAGTCCCGGATGTCTGCAGAGCAGCTGCAGTTCCGAATGGTGTTTTGCTTTATGAAAATCAGTGTGCTGTTCTTCTGACCTTCGGTGACACAGTCAAGTGAGAAGATGCTCAGTGCACCAATCAGAAGGAGGCAGCGTCTGCAAGGTAGTGCCATTCCTGCCCAGTTTGGGCCAGTGTGTTCCTGCTACACCTTCAGGAGCCAATTCATTGAGACTCACCTGGAAGAAAATGTGCAGCTTGATTATCACAGCTGCTCCTCAGAAATACACAGCTTACGGAAAGGAGTTATGAACTTTTCTCTGTTGCAGGCAGGCAATATGTTGTGATCTCAGAGGCTCAGGAGAAGCAGCAGCCAGGCCTCTGAACCCTGCTAGGCTGAGGCATACAGCTCGCAGTGATGTCTGCTGACAGTGGTGTTAAGATGCCAAGAGAGCTGGAGTGGATCCCAGCAAAGAGCCCTACCACATCCTATCCACGGGCAGGGTTTGGAGTTAGGTGAGAGAGCACATTCATCCACTGTCCAATTATTAGTGTGCTGTACCCAGATACCGTCAACATGCACATGCCCTCCCCTTCAGGTTCTGACTTCCTGGAATGCAGGAGGCAAGCAGTTCCTTGTAAGATTCAGCTTCCCACACACTGCCTGTTAAACAACATAGCGTGGATGCCAATGAAGCATTTAGTTAATGGTAAACTTTAATGTCTAACTAGACAAATGTGTCTCTATCCTTCCCTAAGCATATGAGTCTGTTTATAGGTCCTTGTATCCTTTTCCTGCTCCCCTACAAATATACTTGCATGCCAGTCAGTTATAACTTTGTTAAGAGACCAGGAAAAGCCTAATCACTCATCAATATTTTTCCTTTTAATTTCTATTAGTACACCATGATTGCATTCCTCATGGGGAGTTGGTACATGTACATAAAACATTGTGGTTCTTTTTTTCATCCCATTTCCCCTACTCCCCCCTCCTTATATCTCTTGCAAAAGATCTTTCTCCCTCTTTCCCAATAGCTATCTTTTATTTTGCTTTTTATTTATATTTTGGGTGTTTCATAGAAAAGAAACCATGTAATATTTAAGCATGTGTGTGTGTGTGTGTGTGTGTGTGTGTGTGTGTCTGATTTATTTCACTTAACATCATGATCTCATAATGTTATGATTTAACTCCAATTTATCCTTAGTTAAGGAAGAATAATATTTCTTTGTATATAAATACCTCATTTTCTTCATTCATTCATCTGTTGATGGACATGTAGGGTACTTCCAGGATTTAGCTAACTGAAGACGTGAGTATGTGTGTAATATGACATTTTTAAGTATTTTAGGGAGATTTCTAGAAAGTGCATTGTTGAGTCCACTGAAATTTCTATTTTTAGTTTTTTGAGGAATCTCTGTACTGATTTCCACAAAGGTGGTAGCTTACATTACCACCAATAATGTAGAAGAGTTATTTTTCCCCACAGCCTCACTAACATTTGTTATACAGTATTTGATTTCTTGATAAAAGAAATCCTTTTGAGAGTAAGATGAAATCTGAGCATTGTTTTGATTTGCACTTCTCTAGTGACCAGAGCTGTTGAATATTATTTTCATGTGTTTATTGGTCATTTTTACTTCTACTGAAAAATGTATATTTGTTTTAGTTGTTCAATTTTTGATTGTCACTCACCAACATGAAGTGAATTTATTTTGATTTATCTATTCCTACCTCAAAACAAACTTTATGAGTTAACTTTGTCAAGTAATTTGATGGGATCTAGAACTACGTAATAATATAAGTAGTGTTAAATGAACTAAATAAAGTAGAAAATCTTTTATATTTTAAGAATAACATCAATTTTAAGGTCAGAGAAAACATCCTACAGAGCCTGCCATATAATAGATGAGTAGTTTTAAATTTATAGTGCCACTGGGGTAAGACAAGCATTATGGCAGAAGACACCAGATTCTCCTACTTATCTGGCAAGTGAAGACAAAGATAAACAAATAACTCAGTTAATCTCTATTTATTGAGTAGCATAGTGAGACTGTGATGAGAAAGGCCTACAGTTACTGACAAGGTCACTACAGGAAGAGATGGCAGACAATAAATGAAAGGGCCATTTTGAGGGGTTAAGTATGTGTCCAAATAGTATGGTACCACAGGAAAGAGATCAAACAGACATGCAATACTTAGTATACAATATGACGCCACCATGTGACAAAATGTGGCAATGGGAAATCTAAAAGAGGCAAAGCTAAAATGATAGGACTCAGGTAGACAGGTAAAGTCTATCAGCAGATCCCTGGAACACAAGGAGGATGAAAATAGGTGGAACAAAGTTGAATACAAGATAAGATATTGGTTTCCAGCGATTTTAACTGCATTTATCCATTCATCTAGCCATCTATCCGTCTGTCTGTCCATTCATCTACCCATCCATCATTTCATCTGTTTATCTACTCATTTATTCATCTAATGGTTACAGAGAGCTTATTAGGTGATAGGCATTTTCCTAGTTCTGGCCCTAGAACAAGACTATCAAGCCCTAACCCTCACAGTGCTTATATTCTAATGGACCTGATTCTGCTTTAATAGGCTGTGCTATCTGAGACCTGAACCAAACTGGTACTATACCTGAGGACCCAAAATCTGCAGCCCTGGGCAGGGAGGAAGCCAACTTGGGACCAAATATGGGCCCTGCGTGAGCTGTGTGCTAGGCCTTGGAATTGGTCAAGCAGAAGAGACAGAGATGAGCAAGAGCTAAATCCTGCCCTCCAGAGGTTTACGTTCAAAGGAAGAAGGCAAATAAGGGTGAGTCAAGAAGGGATACATTGAATGTGGAGGTGATTATAAAGAACATAGCAGAGAGATCCATTAAATTCCACTGGGGGACTGGAAAGGTGTTTTGTGTTTATTTTGAAGTTGAAAAGGGCTTTTCTTAATGGATTTACTAACAGGTACTTTTTAATAAAAGAAAGAAACTTGGAACAGAATTCTTGAACAAATGTTTAATTATTTTAAACAGCATTAGAACATGTTGGTCACTACCCCACTGGCAAGGAAAATGGAAGAATTAAATGATTTCAAGATAATTTTAGATGATCAGCTGTACCAGATTCCATCAGAGGTTTCGAGGAGTTCATGTCCCAGTAACCTTGCCTTCACAGAACCATGAATGCAGTCAATCCCATTGGCCTTCTCTGATCATTGCCTTAAAAGGAAAGGTAGGGCCGGATGTGGTGTGCACAACTGTAATCCCAGCACTTGAGAGACTGAAGCAGGAGGATAGCCATGAGATCAAAGCCAGTCTAGGGCATGTGGTGAGACCATGTCTTAAATTTAAAAAGTAAAGGGAAAGGGAGGGAAGAACACCTGCAGATCAGCCCGCAGCCTAGGGAGAAGAATGTCTTCCTCCTCCTTTCAGGTATGAGATTGCTCTGAAGAATATAGAGAAGGAGGCACAAAAGGAAAAAAATTGATTTGCAAGTGGGGCTGAAAATCTCCAAATGGATTCACAAGTGACTTCTAACACTTGGGTCTCTGGAACCTCCAATGGTCCCTTCTAGTTGGATGCCAATGATCCTAAAGGCCAGAAGAAGGAGCTGAGATACTAGAACCTTACCAAGGGTGCACAGGTTGGTGTAAAAATCCCCAGTAACCAGTTTATTAGGGTTCTCACAAATGTATATTCACTCTACTTATGTAGAGTGGGCACAAATACATCACATTGTCCATGCCTCTGCCATGGTGGGCCAAGGAGGGACTTGATGGAGCACAGGGATAGCTGGGATGCAGAGAAAATGATATGCCAATCACAGTAGGTCAGAGGGCTCCAGCCCAACGGGACCCCAACTCTCTCTTCCCACTGCCAACACTGCTACCCCAAAGTCCATCAATCCTTGTCCTCCTTTTGCATTTTTCATATTCTTGTCACTCAAGGCTAATTGTATGTTTCTTTTTTTCCCTCCACCCAAGAAATATTCTCCTACTCATATCTTATGTCCTTTGTGACATTTATCATGACATCATCCAAGCCAGGGATAGTTTGGTACAGGCTTAACATCCCGTGCAATTGTTAAGGTGCAGATTATCTTATTGAGCTATGATTACTCGTTTAACTTGTTGACAACAGACCCATAATTTTGTCTTGCTGCCAGATGGCTCTGGTTTGATTTTTTGGTCTCACTGCTGGGTGACTCTGATTTGAATTTGATCATCTTATGTTATACAGTTTACCTGTGTATGCTCTTTTGTTAATATAAGACACTAATACAAAAGCAGTCATTGTCATTCCACAGCTAGGTTATTATTGTGTTCAGTGGTAAAGTTTTCTTTTAGTATTCTTTTTTGTTCCTTGATGTTTTTTCTCATTCCCTTTTGAAGCAATCTTCAATTTTTGTATACATATATGTATGTATATATGTATACATATATGTATACCTATTTGTTTTTTATATTTAGGAGGTTTTGTTTTTCATTTTTGAAACAGGGTCTTGCTATGTAGTTTAGGCTGCCTTGAATTCACTTTGTAGGCCAGGTTGGCCTTGATTTCTTAGCAATCCTCCCTCAGCCTCCCAAGTGCTGGGATTACAGGTGTGTGCCACTATGCCCAACAAGAATGTTTTAATTTTGTAAAAAATTTTTCCAGTACAGTATCAAACATAGAAGAGGGATGATTTATCAACTGATCTATAATTATGTCTTACCAGAGGAAAGGATCATGACCTACCCATTAGTCTTCAGATGATGATACTTTAGAATTAGATGAAAGTAATCTTGTGGACAATACATTCAATGAACATGGTGTAGATTTGAACACGAGGGTAGAAGATCAAAAGGAAAATCATAATTGGTAATAGAAAAAATATCATAGGACATGAGCTCATGGAACTGTGAAATGTGGAGCTGGCAATTAGAAATATTGCTAGCAGTGATCCTTTTGTGTTGTATGAGTAGTAGTATCTGATAATAGACTCAGAATTATAATTGAATAAATAGATGTGCCATATAATGCAGCTTTGGTGCAAAAAGAAAACATCAGTGGTGGGAGTCTGTTACAATTCGCATTATGAAATTTTAACAGGTATGCTATTAATTATGAGAATAGTACCATTGACAGAAACTAGGTTGTATTGATGTGAAAATCCTATGAATGTCATGGACATATGAAGAATGCTATGCATTGTGGCTGATTTTTGGCTATTTTGAATTGCTTGCATTTTTCTGACAATA